TGAGTCAATATCTTAGGTTTACTACTTCTAGATGCTTAAGAAAACAGGATGGTATTATTAAGACTGAAAAAAATAAGCCCTGGCTGGGGTAGCTCAGTGGATTGAGTGCGGGCTGGGAACCAAAGTGTACCAGGTTCGACTCCCAGCCAGGGTACATTCCTGGGCTGCAGGCCATAAACCCCAGCAACCACACATTGATGTTTCTCTCTCTCTCTCTCCCTCCCTTCCCTCCCTAAAAATAAATAAATAAAAAAATCTTAAAAAAAAGACTGAAAAAAAATAAACAGCATATTTGATTTATTTTACCAAAACATCCTAAATATGAGATTTTTTAGCACCCTTTACTTATTTCTTCCTTACACTGCATTTGATTTTAATCCAGTAAGGCAAGGGATTCATAAAATTTTAGGTTCAGATAAGATCTGTCACTCTAGACTAGAGTATTTGAACTGCAGATGCATTTTTTAATTTAATCTTTATTTTATTTTGTTATTAAAATTTGTTTTTGAATGGCAGATGGATCCTAAATCAGTCTGTAGTATTCTGTACACATTTCCTGAAGGAGGGTGTTTAGTCAAGGTCTTGGAGATTGTGTGATATTAATTGATATTGTACATTTTGCTACTGTCTGAAGGTATTTCTATTTAAAGTACAGGGATTCTTAAGTTAACCACTTTGTTATATTAAAGGGACATTATTAATTCAACATACATATTTACTTTTTTGTTGTTGTTGTTCAAGTACAGTTGTGTCCATTTCCCCCCAACCCTCCCCAGCACCCCAGCTACCACCACCTCCCACCCTCAATTCTACCCCCCTTTTGCTTTGTCCATGGGTCCTTTATACATGTTCCTGACAACCTTTCCCCCTTTTACCCTGATTATCCTCTCCCACTTTCCCTCTGATTACTGTCAGTTTGTTCCTTATTTTAATGTCTCTGGTTATATTTTGCTTGCTTGTTTATTTTGTTGATTAGGTTCCACTTATAGGTGAGATCATATGGTATTTGTCCTTCACTGCCTGGCTTATTTCACTTAGCATAATGCTCTCCAGTTCCATCCATGCTGTTGTAAAAGGTAGGAGTTCCTTCTTTCTTTCTGCTGCATAGTATTCCATCATGTAAATGTACCACAGTTTTTTGATCTACTCATTTACTGATGGGCACTTAGGTTGCTCCCAGCACTTGGCTATTGTAAATTGTGCTATTATGGACATTGGGTGCATAGGTTCTTTTGGACTGGTGTTTCAGGGTTCTTAGGATATAGTCCCAGCAGTGGAATTGCCTGATAAAAGGCAGTTCCATTATTAGATTTCTGAGGAAATTCAATACTGTTTTCCACAATGACTGCACCAGTCTGCATTTCCACCAACAGTGCACTAGGGTTCCCTTTTCTCCATAACTTTGCCAGCACCTGTTGTTTGTTGATTTGTTAATGATGGCCATTCTGACACGAGTGAGGTGGTATCTTATTGTGGTTTCAATTTGCATCTCTTTGATGGCTAGTGATGCTGAGCATGCTTTCATATGTCTCTGTCATTGTTTGCAGATGATGTGATAGTGCACATAGAAAATCCTCTAGACACCACCAAAAACCTGCTTGGCCTAATAAGTGAATTTAGCAAAACAGCAGAACATAAAGTCAATATTCAGAAATTGAAGGTATTTTTGTACATCAACAATGAAATATCAGAACCAAAAATCAGGAAAAAATCCCATTTGATATAGTAACAAGAAAAACAAAGTACCAAGGAACAAACCTAACCAAGGAGGTAAAAGAACTGTACTCAGAAATCTATACAACACTGGAGAAAGAAATTAAGGAAGACACAAATAAATGGAAGCGTGTACCGTGTTCATGGATTAGAAGAGCTAACATCATCAAAATGTCTATACTACCCAGAGCAACTTGTAGATTCAATGCAATCCCTATTAAAGTACCAATGACATATTTCACAGATATAGAACAAACATTTCAAAAATTTATATGAAACCATAAATGACCCTGAGTAGTCGCAGCAATTTTGAAAAACAACAACAAAATAGGAGGGATCACAATACCTGATATCAAACTGTATTACAAGGCCACAGTAATCAAAACAGCCTGGTACTGGCATAAGAACAGACATATAGACCAATGGAACAGAATAGAGAGTCCAGAAACAAAACCAAGTCTCTATGGTCAATTAATATTCAACAAAAGGAGCAGAAAAATAAAATGGAGTAAAAATAACCTCTTCAACAAATGGTGCTGGGATATCTGAACAGCCACATGCAAAAAAAGAAAATGATACTCAACCACCAACTTACACCCTACACAAAAATAAACTCAAGATGGATAAAACACCTAAATATAAGTCATGATGCTATAAAAATCCTAGAGGAGAACATAGGCAGGAAAACCTCAGATATTCCACACAGCAATATTTTCATTGATATGACCCCTAGAGCAAGAGACATAAAGGAAAGAATAAATAAATGGAACTTCATCGAAATATAAAGCTTCTGCATGGCTAAAGAAAACATTAGCAAAATGAAAAGGGAACCAACCATATGGGAAAATATAATTGCAAATGATACCTTGGACAAGGGTTTAATCTCCAAAATATATAAAGAACTCACACGACTCCACTCCAGGAAAATAATCCAATTAAAAAATGGGCAAAGGACCTGAACAGATACTTCTCCAAGGAAGACATATTGAGGGCTCAATATACATTTTTAAATAGATATTTAAAGCTAATGGGTGCTTAACTTACGGGAATTTAAGACCTAGAATATTTGCTGTAAATTGAAGATAAGTTTGGTTGTGTTGTGAGGTATTCAAAGTGTTTTTAAAATTGTGAAACACATGACATAAGAGTTTATTAATGCACTTGCTAACGTATTTTTAAATGTCTAGTTCTATACATGTGAATCAAATGTTAGTTGATCCTACAGATTGCCTCCTAGAGCTTAGTAAGCTATTTGGAACTATAAAATTTTTAAATATTAGATTAAATTTTATTTTAAAAGATCTTATTTATTTTTAAAAATATCTTGCAATTTTTTTCAACTAAGTTTTTTTATTGCACAAATGGTCAGTCACATTCCACTTCAAACTCCAAGAAGCATTTTTCTTTTTCATTTTTTTGCATTTTTATTGTTGTTCATGTGCAGTTATCTCCATTTTTCTTATTTATTTTTAAAGAAAGGGGAAGGGAAGGTGAAAGAGAGAGAGGGAACCATCTATATGAAAGAGAAGCATCGATTGGTTGCCTTTCTCACATGCACCAGCCAAGGAGAAAGTTCCATCCCTGCAACCTAGGTATACACCCTGCCTGGGAACAGAGCAGATGACCTTTCACTTTGTGGGACAACGCCCAATCAAGCCACACCAGTCAGAGTGGAACCACAGAATTTTAATACTGATTTTCAGGTTCAAAAGTCTAATATTTATAATAAAAATATTTCTAGAGGTATTAACTTATTTCTTCAGGCTAATATTTAGTATTTAATATTTAGTACTGGCTAGAATGAGTAGTGTTATTTTCAAACTGAGTGTATGCTTATGTAGGGCATATATAAAAATTAAGTGGGGATGGTTAATGATCTGAAAGTTTCATATTAGTTTACTTTTTAGATGCTAGGTTCTGTATAACTTAGACATGTAATTTATTTCTACTGGCTGTCCTTCAAAGAATTTAATCTACAAGTTTTGAAATTAAGCACAATGTCTAAAGATTGTGAGAGAAAGGAGTGAAAACAATGCTTCTCAATAGTTGCAAAGCTCTTTTCAGTGATTTGACTTACATTTTTATTTATTCTAGTTCACGTGCATTTGGGAGCTCAGTCAACATTTGCTATGTTATTACTAGTTGTTGTTTTTCCCAACAGTCAGAATAAGTTTGTGCTATTGTAATCAATACTCTCTTATTTTTATCTCTGAAGTCGAATCTGTAATCTCAAAGATGTATTTTCTAGGAAGCAGGATATAATTAAATGGCCCATCCAGGGTAGGATTTGTATCTTTGGCCTAAGTGGACCTGTTAAAATATAAATGTAGCATAATTACTGGAAATAAATCTGTTCCAAACCACACCAAAAATATATTAATTTCAAATAAAAGAAGAAATTAAGAGAAAATCTAATTATATTTTAAAAAATTAAATTTTTGGAAAAAAATGAGTGCTACTTTCAAGATACTGATGTTTGTATCAGTAAGTGATGGAGAGAGAACTGCAAGGAGAAGGTAACTTATTGTAAGTCTGTGGCATGAATGTCACGTTATATTATTTCAGTCTGGAACACACTCTGAGAGAAAGACATATGGACTAAAAAATTTAAATGTCTTACTTTTTTGAAATATTCTAGGAGGGTCACACTCTTAATTTATATTGATATTTATACTTTAAAATTGTAGAGTAATGAAATCAGGAGGGAATATTTATGCCTTACGTTCATCAGTTGTACAGAGGCAAAAACAGAAATATTCCCTGTTGCTTTTGTTCCCCCTGGAATCAATGAAAAAGTTTAAAAAATTATTAAATTTTTATTCCTTGCTAGAACTATAGTACACTATATGAAAGAAAAGAACTATAATCTATAATTACTGAACTTATTTTAATTTGTCTAGGAGTGAACAGGGGAAAACTGTTTAAGGAAAAAAGATGCCTAAACCAATAAGAAACAAAAGACAAGAAACTAAGTTGGTAATAGAAATTATTCTGAAATACATAGAACATCACATCAGTTATTTAATGGTGATTCCTAAACCATAGCTATAAGAAAATATCCCCACAAAGAGCATCTTTCAATATAAGCAAGATGTTACCAAATGAGTGCTGAAATTACAGAAGAGAAAAAGAAACTGTTCACTTAAGACAACCAAGTTATTGCAGTTCTCCTAGTTTAAGGATTCTTAGGTTATATTATACAGAGTTAAAAGGCCACAAGTAGGTTTTCTCCTTCTCTAATGTGCCACAATTTACATAAATGCTAGATAAATTATATGGAACAGTACCTTTCTTTTAGCCTTTAGCTGCTCATGATACTTGTCACAGGTATCTCCTGGGATCTCTCCTCCCCAGAGAGTGATCCCAACGATGGTGTATGTGATGCCCATGACGAGCAGTGGGAAGCAGTACACCAGTATGATGACAATGATATGGTAACTGAAAGAAATACAAAAAAGAAAAAACAACCACACAACATGCTGAAGATTATATTGGGATAAATACTGGGGCTTTGAAGTCATTCCATTTTAAATCATGATTGAAAATGCCAAAGAATATTTCCAGTTTTTTTTTAAGTATTCATTTCACAAATCCATCAACACACCATCCTTTGGTCACCTGTAGTTGTCCAAATGCTACCAGCTGATCTTTGTCAATCTTTGCATTATACCTGAAAACCACAGGTGAGCTGTAGTGTTCATTTAAACCACACCTGCTTCCACCTTGCCCAGAGGTTCAGAATAAATGCCTTTTCTCTGGTAATTGTTGAACTAACCTAATTAAATATATCACTAGAGGAAAAGAGAGGGGCAGAATAAACTAATCAACTGATAGATATTTTCTCTTATGCATAGCTATTCTATATATCTCTGCAACATTATTTGTATTTGAAATAAATTATTTTTCACCCAAATGAAATAAATGTTACCAGATACCGTGAGCCACATTGAATTCACAAGCTATGTGACTGTGATTTTAAAAATCAGACAAAGACATTAATATGTATTTTTCAAAAGTCATGGCAGATACGATTACTAATTTGGTAAATAATATACAGATATGTCAGTCACTACAAAGTCATGACACTATAAATTATCAAAGTAAATTCTAGGATTTCATAGCTTTCAACCAAAATTACAAAGAGGCAGTTAGGAAGGAATAGAAGGTAATGCATAATACAACAGCACAGTTAGAGCTGGTATAAACTTCTGTGTGGCTTCCATTGTCTTAGTAAGACTTTAAAATAATTCAAGGGTCTGGTATGCTAATTTCAATGCCTGTTTTCTTTTTTTTTTTGTAAAGGGAATCAAACCTTCTAGCTTCTTCATTTCCTGATATCTTATTAAGTATCAACATAATTTCAATGGGGAAGTGATTCAGCCAACAAAAAATGAAATTTTATTATAAATTTTATTATAAATTTCATTTTATCATACAACTCAGATTTATTAATAATAATAAATAGAAAACAGTTTAAAACTGCTGCTTTCTCTTCTTCTACTAAAAACTTTTAAAATTCCTTAAAAACTGGACTCTTGGTAGAGCAAAGTTTGATAAAATGACTGTTTTAAAAGATGACCATTATATTTGTATTATTTGTTATTTTTAAGAGAACAATGGGTTGTTACATAAAAATATGTTGAAATAAAATATACATGATTATAACTAAAAATACAAATAAATTGCATTTTTCTATTTGCTTTTCTTTCTGAGAACTTTTTAAATGAAATTTATTGAGGTTATATTCAGGAACAAAATTATACAGGTTTCAAGTGTACAATTCCATAATACATCATCTGTATACCGCATTGTTGCTTACCACCCAAAGTTAAATCTCCTTCCATGATTATATGTTTGACTCCCTTTACCCTTTACCACCTTATCCCACCTCCTTTCCCTCTGGTAACCACCATACTGTTGTCTGCGTCTGAATTTTTGTTTGTTTCTTTGTCTTGTTTTTTCATTTGTTGCTTTCAGTTTTATATCTCACAAATGAGTTAAATCATATTGTTCTTGATTTTTTCCTGTATGAGTTATTTCACTTAGCATGATATTCTCAAAATCCATCTAGTTGTTGCAAATGGCAGCATTTTATTTTTTTAAGGTGGCCCCAAAATATGAATGCCAGATTATTGTAACACTCCTATTTTCTTTTCAACCCAGTGTAGAAGTTTCTTTAATGTTAAAATAACACAACCAAGAAACTACCAGGACTCCCCTTTTTTTCAGCCAGCCGTCTGAAAAGAGCAATCCATACGTTTGGGCTTTAGTTCCTCCCTTCTCACTCATTTCTCAGTCAATAACAACCCTACCCTTTTTGGGCATTGCTTTCATCTCCAATGCGTTTATCATTACCTCCTCTAGGAAACTCTCCAGAGCTGTCTCATATATAAATCATTACATTTTTCCAATTATTAATCTTTGTAATTTACACCAATTTATTGACTATATCATACTATATTATAATATTTTAACATGTCTTTTTTCTCACTAATGTGTGACATATTAAGGGAAATGCCTACCTCTTATTTGTATAATTGGTGCTCCCAACCTACAGCTCCTTAAGTATTCAATAAATTAAACTGAAAATCATAATAGAGAATTAACTTACGTGAAATGTTGTTTGGGACCTTCTGGCCATTGCACATAGCAGAGAGTACGCCCTGGCATGACTTTGATTTTGGAGTACAGACACTGAGGGAATGCAAGAAGAAATGCTAGAATCCAAATACTGCCAATGACAATCTTGGTTGCTGTGGCAGACAGTCTGGGTTTCAAGGGATCAATAATGGCCATATACCTATATAATAAAAAAAACACAACATTTTGTCAGTCTCTTGTTAGCAAAGTTTAAAAAGTTAGTTTCAAAGGTGTTTTAGTGGTCAGGATTCTCTTTCTTCTGGTAAACAAGTTGGTAGGGACTTTGCTTGTGTGGAGGCAGCCCAAAGTGATAATTATGATATAGTCTTTGGAATCAGATAAATTGAGGTTCAAATCCTATTCTGCCACCTTTTAAAATCTCTTTAAACTTCAGCTTCATTATTTTAATAATAGAAATAAGAACATCCACCACTTAGAGATGAAGCCAAGATCAATAAAAATAATTAAGTGAAAGGTATTATTTGATGTTGTGCCTTGCATATTTATGAATTTATCAGAATTCACAAAATGTACGCTGAATGAAATTGGAAAGATGAGAAATAAGTGCTTAAAATATAAACTTAGTACTTTCAAGACCTCCATATTTTCAGTTCAGAGTTTAGATAAAGATGAATAACTCAAGTGTAACTGAGGCTATGCCTTTCTGTTAACCCCCAAATTGAATATATACTATAACATGAAAATCTGCATAGTATCTATCTATATAAATATATATAATTTTTATAAAACTATATTTGAGGCTCTAAAAAACACACCTATGATTTTTTAGAGTGCAGTTATTTTGGGAAATTGTTAATCTCTGAATAATAGAGCAGAAAATAATGTAAAAAATTAATTATTTTTTGCATTTCTCTTAATAAATTACATTATGCTTTATTTTTACTATTGGCCATTTTGTGTTCTCAAGTATATATTGATTTATGCAAAATTTCCAATGGCAACACTTTTATCAAAGAATGAAGATTACTTAAACCAAAAACATTTTAATCTTAAGAATAAACATTTCATAATAAGGATAATTCATTAATTTGTTTATTGCTTTGTGTTTTTATAATTATTAGGTAGAATTAGATCTTCAGTAAGTATATTGGAACTTATGTATATACTGTTAATAATAATAACTTTAGTTGTAATTTACTTAAAGAGAATATTCTTAATTTATAATGTATGACAGTTAATAGACAAAAGTGAATGTTGGATATAAAAACAATTATAAAAACAGTACCTTAATTAAAAAGTGAAAAACCTTGAAGACTTTTAGTAGTACAAAGAAACAAACAAAAAAACCCAGTACATTGGTTTAAGAAAATAAGGTGAATCATAGAAAGAATATAAAATGAAAACTGTTTAAAATTCACCTCTCATGCTTATGTTGATGAAAATAATAGCAATATTTATTGTTTCTTAACCATTACCAAGCAATTTATTACATACATTATATTCATTTGATATCCAGAATAATCCAATCAATCCAGTAATAGCTTTGTTTTGCAGAAAGAAAACTGAGACTTAAAGAAATTAAGTAAGCCCTGGCTAATGTGGCTCAGTTGGTTGGAACATCATCCATAAATTGAAAGGTTGCAGGTTTGATTCCTGCAACTTTTCAGGCACATACCCAGGTTTTAGTCCTATCCTTTGTTGGGCACATCTACGGAAAGGCAAGTGATTGGTGTTTCTCTCTCTCATTGACCACCCCTTCCTCTTTCTCTAAAAGCAATGAAAGAAATGTCCTTGGGTGAATATAAAAAAAAAAAAAAGAAAAGAAATTAAGTAAATTGTTAAAAAATGACTCAGATGGTAAGAGCTAGTATTCTAAACCAATTCTGCCAGTCTTCCAAGTTCATATAGATATACAGATTATGGCTTTGAATATAACCATTTATGTAAGGAATTGTGATAGGAAAAATATTTAAGGTAGATGCCTTGCAAAGAATCAGAAGTTGCATTTTGCCTTGTGAATTGAAAAGCATTTATGTACAACATAAAAAAACTAAAAGTCTAACATATAAAGATAATAATTGTAGTTGGGCATATCTGTTTCTATTGCAGCTGATTATAAGTCACCATAGTGTTTCTCATTGTATGAACTGTTGTTTTTCTGGTGTTTCCAGAGTCAACCACAGCACTTACTAATCCATTTTCTTTTCCTGAACTATTTCTCAAACTCTATTATAATATTTTGGTCTTTTGCTTGCTCTGGCATTTATGAACACATTTGGATGTTTAGACAGTTGGTTTTTTTTAGACTAAAAACAGAAATTGAGTGACATGAGCAGGGTTGGAATCCTGTACAGCCATGCTAGCATGGATAATTCAAAATAATCTGCAAATCTCTTGTAGATGTTTCTTAGTCAATTAGTCTAATGATAGAGAATTTCTTTTAAAGAAGAATCTTTGTCACTGTCACCTTCCAAAGAGAATAGAATCTTTTTTTTAAATTAATTAATTTATTTTTAGAGAGGGAAGGAAGGGAGATAGAGAGGGAGAGAGAAACATCAATGTGCGGTTGCTGGGGGTCATGGCCTGCAACCCAGGCAAGTGCCCTGACTGGAGAGAAATTTTTCACTGACAAGTAGGATATTATATGGAAATAATTTACCAGTATATACTCACTAACACTTTCATAAAAGTAGAAATTTTGAAATGTCAAGCTGACAGTTTTGTCATTTCTGGTCTGACCTCTCAGATATTCATTCAGCTAAACATTTATTGGATGCCTGCCATGGTATTCCAGACACTGTAGCTGAACAACAGTGAGGAAAGATTTCACAGAGCTCATAGTCTAGTGAAGTAGATAGATATTAATCAAGTAATCTCACCAATAAATGTAAAATTATAGATATGGTAATATTATAAATGAAGATAAATGTGGTCATCTGAATGCATTTACTGGGAAAACATATTTATATTGTGAGTCAGTCTTTTCTAGAAAAGTCAGTCTGGGTTGAAAATTGGAAGGATGACAAGGCAAGGTGGCAGAACAGGGAGGGTTGCAAAGATTTCTCAGAGAACAAGCTCATGAAAAACTCCTGTGTTAATGGTGCCTTTTCACAGGTTGAATTGTGTCTCCTTAAAAAAGATATGTGGATTAGCCAAGGAACATCTGTGAATGACCCATGGACATAGACAACAGGCTGGGGGTTGACTGTGGGATGTGGGCTGGGCAGAGGAGAGCAAAGGGGAAAAATTGAGACAACTGTAATAGAACAACAATAAAATATTTAATAAAAAAAGAAATGTTGAAGCCATAGCTCAATATCAGAGAATGTGACTTTATTTGGCAATAGAATCTTTATAAGGTAATCAAGTTAAAGTGAGGTCATTCGGGTGAATCCTAATCCAATGAGTTGGTACAAAGGAGGAATTTGGAAACAGAGAAATATACATGGGGGACACCATGTGAAGATGAAGGATTGAGTGATGCATTACAAACTAAGGAATGCCAAACTGCCAGTAAATCCCCAGAAGATAGGAAGAGGAAAGGAAGGATTTTCCTTCAGCTTTCAGAGGGAGCTTGGCCCTTACCAGTACCTTCATTTCAGATTTCTAGCTTCCAGAACTGTGAGACATATATTTCTGTTCTAAGTCACTCAATTTGTGGTACTTTGTTATAGTAGCCCTAGGAAACCAGTATGAGTCAGGACGAAAGAAGCATTATAAACTTGAGTAATTAAGGGCCAATGTAATTGAAACACAGAAAGTGAAGGGGGGAAATGATTTGAGACAAAGTTGTAATGCAGTTTAAAGATTTTTGTCTTATGGAAGGTAATTGAGGTGATTCAATCTGATTTTAGTCTGAGGAATGGACTGACGGATGGAAAGAATGGTAGTAGGGAAATAAGTTACCTGGCTATTGTTCTGGTTCTGGTAGGAGATGATTGGTACTTGCGATAGAGTGTTGTTACAGGTGATTGAATTATGGTAATAGTTTGAGGAAAGTAGGAATGTTGAAGTATTGCAAAAAGGGCAAGCCAGTTGGCCAAAGAAGTGGGTAGAATTGCCAGGCATTGCTGAAGACCAGTTTGAAATTGGTGATTAGAAATTCATTGTAGCATTAATATTTCCTATTCTGTGACTCTCTTCAGCAACAGTAGCTTGCTCAACAGTAGGCATGAAGAAAATGGCCAATTAAGCTTATCCAGACAAACATCCTCAGGACCTTGAGAAGTGATTGAATCTCAGATATAAACTCATTCAAATGTCGGTACTTTATTCTTCCTTTAAAGAAATGTATATCTTTGATGTGTCACATTAGCTTGTCTGAGCTTCTCACTACCATTCTCCCCTCACTAAACAGATTCTCAAATATGTTAGAGTCTCTTGAATATGATTATTTCATGAATGGCAGCTAAGATTTTATGGCTTCTTGGTGTACCAATTAGGGCATCACCTGAAAAATGTTGGGAACCGCCCTGACTGGTATCAGAGGCTGAAACCCCCGCCTAGCTAAGGCTAAGGGAACACCCTTGGAACTGTAAGCCAGCAAGGAGACAAAAGCTTATCTTCCTGGCAGGAATGCTGCTTCTGCTGCTTTATTCATAACTGAACCCCCAAAAGCTTGGTCGGTTAGCCAAAGACGGGTAAGATTCCCCACGGGGGGAACGACCTAAGCCAGGCATGATCACTTTGGGAGGCCCCCCCCAAAAGAAGGACTTGGGGGGCTGCAGCAAAAGGGGGTGATGGACCCTCACTCCTCGGCTTTGACATAGCCTGAGTTCTCAGCGTCTGGGAGAAAATCTCCTTATCTCTTGGTTACCTAGTTCCCTTGCTCCACCTAAGCCTAAAACAATGACAGGGTGGTGCAGCTCGGTACTGAGAAGTGCGGATTTCCCGGGGTGATCGGGCCTAAGAAAGAACATGTAAATTACTGTGAAACCTTCTTTGTTTAGAATGCTCTCAGTTGAATGAGAAGGGTCTTAGGAGGAAGTTAGTTTGTTCCTCAGTCTTACAGCTCTTTGACCCCAACTCAATAGACTGGCAGAGTTCTTTGTTTTCTATAGTTCCTCACTTCCCCCTAATGAGTACTGTACTTTACCTGAATTATTATGCAAAATGAGCCTAATAAAAGCAGGTACGGACGGTAAATCAGCGCGCTCCCCACTAGGGGGGGTGGCCATTCTGTCCCTACTTCCCCACAGA